GAAATATGGTCATGAAATGTGGGGTCATTTTAACATTGCACTAAGTAAAGAGCAAATAAGAAGGGGGAGCTTGAAAACATTTGCAAAAGCAACTCTAAATGGATCTATGTTTTCTTCTTGTCTGCATTATTTCTTTTTCCATGGCTGGCCAGATTTGACTCCTGCCCTAGATCAATGAAAGCCAACCACAGATACTTAAGACTGAGGGGCAGTTTAAAAGATCATCTTTCCATTTGCCTTGACCAAAAGGCAAATGGAAAACTATATACATAAAAGGCAAGACTACATGCAAACTATTCAGGACAGAGAGTTGCCTGTGCACTTCTCAAACATATTCTGAAAAAAAGCATTCACACTTCCCTTGGTACTACACCTCTTTTTCTCACAACTACCATGGTCAGGATGTTCTTTCTAAACCTACCTTTTTCCTGATAAGCTTTAAGCTTATTACCTCTTATCAGTCTTTCATGAAAGTAAGAACAGCCACTCTCCAGCATGCAGATAGCACCTCTTTGTGTGCAAGTGTACGTGCAAACACATGCATGCATTTTGGAGGGATGTCTTTGGAGCTAATAATCCAATTCTGTCAACCCCCAAAGCCTGAATCATTTCTGGAGTTTTTCTCCACAAAGACCCATTAGCTAGGAAAAAGATAGGCTGAGCCAGATTAAGGGACTGTTACATCTCCAAAGCTCATTATCTCCCCAAGTTTTGCAAATACAACTATCTCCCCAAATCAAGAAGCATAGATTGTTTCAAATGTAGTTTATAGTAAGGTGACCACAGAATTTTTTTCTAAAGTGGGACACATTTGAGGGTGAAATAAGTATGCTGGAATAACAGGCATAAACCATAACATATGATCACCCTACTTATGGTCCTTCATAGAGGAAATGTTTTAACTTCTCTCAAATAAAACAAATCTCTAAGCCTGTTCTTGATGGAGGATGGCATGGCACTACTCTAGCAGTCAGACCCAAGGTATAATCTTGGTCTCAAATCTCTAAACCCTCTTCAGGTAAACATCAGGAGCAGCTTTTTGTTTAAGCTAGTTGTGTGGCACTTGAAATCGGCTACTGAGGGTGAGAAGTTTAAATTTTTTAATGGGATTTGGGGGTGCTTGAGAAAACAGTAGATAATTGTTTATATCAAAATTATCACACTGGGGATAGATAAGATGAACCTATTGAGGTGCCCTTTGGAAAAATAATACTTGTATGCATAGTAGTTGATCCCAAAGACTTCAGTTTCTTTTCCGCCAGAGAACAAGAAAGGGAAAGATATCAGATCACAGCACTTACCTACAGAAAATGACCAAAAGAGCACATTCCCTAGCAGAGGCTTGCAAATCACTACATGCAGTGAGGGACTGGAGGGAAGAAAGACAAAGAAGGTCCTCACCCCTACCTCTAGCTGGCCCAGAAAAGCCCCTACTATCACTAAAAGGGAGTTTCCCCCAACCCTCCACTCTCCCAGCTGATCACATCCCAGACCAGGCTTCCTCAAGGTTGTAATGTGCACAAGGCCAGTGTTGTTTGAGAACAGAGGAATCTTCATCTCTGCCCAACATGAAATTTTCCTGGCAAGCGAAAAAGTGCGAACTTAAAGGTAGCCCCAAGTGATGCAGTCTTGTCTAGTGCTCTTTGTTTTCAAGCAGCATGGAGAACCCGAGAAGTTCTTTGTGTCTAACTCTATGATCTTGGGTTTGAAAAGGTTCTCTGGTAGAGAAACTGTCAATTAGGGAGCTGGAGAGCAACTTTTCAGAGGAGGTAAAAGGAATAAAAAAAGAAAAGAAAAAAATTAAAATGCCCAAACCTAAAGTCCCAAAGATGGGAAAAATAAGGAAGCCAAGTGACCTATTCTTTAGCGAATCATCCCTCTTCCCTATCACCCACTTTGGTCCTTCTCTCCTTTTGCTTTTTGTGCACAGGAACACTTAAACCATGTATATACCACCAGATAAGAGTTTAAAGGTAATGTAACAGAGTCAAAGGCCAATTAGAATCTCTTTTTCTCCCCTAACTAAGGGATTTGCAGAAGAAAAAAAATATTTACTAGAACTGGACTTAGGAACAGAGAAACTGCAATCAGTGCTTCTTTGATTAGGCCCGTCCTCCTAAGCAAACACTTCAGTGAGACCAGGACCTCCAGTGATTGTGTCAGAGATCTATGAGCACATCCTTGAATATTTTAAATTAAGCACTTATCATTTTTCTCATCTCTCTGCAACACCACCACACCTTTAGTTCTCTCTGCTCACTGGGTAGCTTACAGGTAATTAGACCATTGTGGAAAAAAGAAAAAGAGGGAAGAGAGACAGACTGAGTAAAACAAAAAGAAGCAGCGTCTGCAGTTGTTTGACTTCGGCAACAGGGTGTTACAGGTTTGCATGTGTGTGTGCGCGCATGTGTGTTAAAAAGCATTGATGCATTGAAGATTTATTCACTGAACAGGCTGATTTATTTAACAGACTTGACATATGTCAAATTTTGCCATGTGCTTACATAATTGTTATTCATTTATCAGAGCTGTTATTTAGGCAAATATTTGTTTTAAAAGTATTTTTCTTTAAATGACTTTCTCTAGCTTACTGCACAATCAATCCGTGGTTCATTTTAATTATATTACGTTAACAATAGCTATTTGGTGGAAGTCTCTGAAATCTAATCTTCCCCATGCCATTTCACCTCCACCCAAACTCTATTCCTTTTTTCCTAGTAATAAATTTCTGATTAAAATCACACCATGGGGAAAATTTTAAAAATATGCACAAATTCCTTTTATGTTATAGTATTTTACACTTATGATTTCCAGAAAAGCAGTTTCTCAGCATATTGTTAAAATCACAGATCTGAATACTGTTAACCTAAAAAACTGGCTAAAAGGACAAAAGGATGTATTTTTTTGTGAGTGTATGTCTGTGGGGCGGGGGCGGCAGTTGGAACAGCTAGGGGAGAGCTAGGTAGAGAATTAGGTAGAATAAAAGGAAGTAAATGGAGTCAAATGTCAAGTCTTACGAATTTTGTTGAATCACCCTATGCCATCTGAGCACATGTGCACAAAAAATTATATCTTTTCAACTCAAATGCATGCAATCTATCTAGGTTCTGTGGGAGGTAAAATATTGGAAAGTATTTCCAAGAAACAAAAATGTCTAATCAGTAGCCTCCAGGGCTGGTTTGAGTTCCTCTATTGTAAGTATGCAGTTTGCAAAAGCAAGATTCATTTCGACCTCCCAGGTCAAGCAGTGTTGGGACCAGGAAAGCTATGAGGGGAGATCCCATCACCACACAAGTAAATTTTTGACCTAGTAAGCAAATACGTTTTTGTTGTTACTGCAGGGTAAAATGTACAAGTCTTCCAGAAATTAGACACTGTAATAAAAATGTACCAGCCCAAATTTAAATTGCTCACTAGACAGATGGTTAATTATATTCACAGCCACATATTTCACTGGGATAGAGTTTCAGACACTCAGCCAGTTTTATTTGATTAGCCGGTTTCCCAGTTAATATGTAAAATGACAGTTACTTAGGACTTTTTTGTTCCCTTCTAAAAATATATTTTCAATAAGTGTAAATTCTCCTCAGCCATGAGAACGTCACTGCTGTAAATAAAACGTTTGGTCATATGTTACTTCATGTGTAAAAGATGTAAGGAAGATTCGCCCCCCCTAAAAAAAAAACTCAAATGGTCTTTAGTAGTTCAAAGAAGACCACTGGAGCACCTTTTCTCACCAAGTAAAATATTCCAGGAACTATCGACACACTCTGCTCCTCCACCAAAAACAACCGAGATATTCAAATCCCGGGATTAGAGTGTTTTAGACGCTTTTTAAAAACAGCCCTGCCAGCCCTGCACACAAAAACGTGTGTTCTCAGATAACAGTCTGAAAATGGAACGTTAGAAAAAGGCCACAGAGCTAAGTGTATTGCTGTGCACAGAATTCAACAATATGCTGGGAGCCAAAACCCAGAAGCAAAATATGAGACCCACTTATTCCAAAATGCAGCCAGAAGCTCGACAAAAATCAAGAGTGCTGGTGTCGAAATGGGGATGCCAATTTTTTTTTTTTTTTTTTAACTTCGAAAAAGACAGAAAACCTTGCGCGGGTGATTCGGTCCCTCACGAATCAGACAGAAGCAGTCATGCTGAAACCGCTGGATTCCTCAGCTGAACGGCGCCAACTCAGCGGCGCGGTTTGCACACTTTCCCGGAGCGGGCCGGCTCCCCGCGCCGGCTCGCCGCCTCCCTGCCCCGTAGGGTGCACAGGACGCGAGCGGACGTGTGTCGCGGGGTGCGGCACAGAGAAGCGCAGAAGGCACGCAGGAAAGCGTCAATTCTACTGCCACCGAGAGCGGGAAGGGGCCGTGGGCCAATTTCCGCAAAGGTGACGAGCTGGGCGAGGCTCGGTTGGGTCCCCAACTTATACCCGCTCGAGGTCCCGGCTGGGTGGCGTGTGCCCCGGGAGCGCTCCGTGGTGACCACCGCCGCCCGGCGCGCGCGGGAGCCGCGGGCGGGGGAGGCGCCGGCAACGGCGGCTTCGCACCTTTGCGGCTTTGGCCCTGGCGGCCGCCGCGTGGGTTTTCCCGCTCGCGCCAAAGCGTGCCGTGCCCGTGCCCCGTTCCCCGGCCAGGCTCTCCCGAGCACCATCCCGACAGGGGACTGCACTCTGCCGTCCCTGCTGCCCGGCGGTGTGCGTGTGAGCGCGGCGGCTCCAGCCCGCTCGCTTCCCCTCCCCCCGGCGCGAGCACAGAGGCCTTTCCTAGATTGCAGTGCCTGTCAGGGCGAGCCGGGATCTCGCCCTCGCGGCCTCGCTCCCTCGTTCACAGACACACACATGCACGCCATTCGCACACAGACGTCCTCCCTTCTGTTTTCCCTTCCTCCTCTCCTCGCCCGGCTTCCTCCTATACGTTCCACCCCCTGCCGCCGCCGCCCGAGCCAGCCGGGGAGCCGGCGAGAAGGCCAGGGGTCTGGATGGCAGCGCTCGTGCTCACCTCACAGGCCGACTCCCAGGGCGCACGTCGCTGGCGGGCTCAGGCAGCAGGCGCCGGAGCTGGCGCGGCCACAGTCAAGGTTGGGCTGCCACCGTCGCCGCAGCTGTTGGAGCCGCCGCCGCCGCCGCCGCCGTCGCCGCCGCTACTGCTACTGCTGCCGCCGCCGCCGCCGCCTCTGCCTCAGCTCCATGCGCCGGGCCCGCCAGGTGGACGCGCCTCTCTCCCTCGCTTGCTCTCTCAGGCGCCGCCGCCGCCGCCGCCGCCGCGCTAGATGGAGTCAGAGCTGTCGGGCTCTGGCCCTGAAACTCAGAGCCGCGGTGGCTGCCCGGCTGCTCCTAGGGTCCGCGCTTCGCCTGCACCAGCGCTCGCTCGGGCCGGGGCTACCTCGCGAGCGGGCTGCGCGCGCGGCGCCTGGAGCCCGCTCCGTGCGGTGGCTGCGGCCGTCCGCGAGAGGGAGAGGGAAGGAGGGCGGCTGCTACCGTCGCTCTCGCTGTGAAAGCTATTGCTAAATGCTGCTCCTGCCGCTACTGCTACTGCTGTGGCGGCGGCGACTGCTGCTGCTGCTGCTGATGCTACTGCTTTTCCTTCCCGGGTTCTCCCCCTGCCTCGTCCCCCCTCCTCTCCCCCTTCTCCTCCTCCTCCTCCTCCTCCTCCCCCTTCTCCTCCCTCTGCCGCTTTTCTCAGAGCCTCTGCGGGCGCTGCCTGGTCCCCTCTTCTCCCAGAGCTGCCTCTGCCCATTCAGAAAGGTGGCCAGAGTGGGGCTGCCTCGGCTGCCACCATCGCTATTGCCCCTGCCATTGTTTCTTCCAACACGCTGTTCTTGCTGGACGCGTTCCCCCTCTATCCTCCTTCCCCACCACGGCCCTCCCTTTCCCTCCCTCTCTCTCCTCACCCTCTCTCACATCCCTTCCCCATGTGCCCCCCACTCTGTCCGTCTGTCCCTCCCTCCCCTCAGGCGCCCGGGAGCGCGCACTGCGCGGCCACCAGTCATAAAGGGCGCGCGCCCCCCTTCCCCACCCCCACCCCGCCCCCCACTCGCATTCTTGCAGCCGGTCCAGTCCACCGCGCGACTTGTGCGTTCTCCCTCCGGCAGACACGCAGCCGGACACCACTCTCCCACGCCTTTTAGGGCAGTTGTGTGTGTGGAGAGGGGCGCTCTGAAGTTTGGGGAAGAATATTTGAATGGCTTCGTCCACCAAGCATCTAATCTAATCATTCAACCTCTACCTACCCTTAACTTAAGGGCCTAAGCCCCCAGGAAGGTGGGTCATGTTGGAAGGGTTGGAGGAAGGCAGAGAAGTGGAGAGGGGTGTTTTTTGGAATAAAGGAGAGAGGAAGGGAACCAGGAAGGAAATGGGATCTGCCTGACAGCTGTCACTGAAAAATCCCTTAGGTAGTCAACTCCCTTCAGACGTCCTGGGAACCCAACAGGAAACAGCGAAAGATTGGAGAGCAACTCCAGTCTTGCAGACTATGTAGCACTTTTGGAACCCTGGGTGTGAGGTTGCTGCCTGAGTTCCGGGAGTCATCACCACTAGCAGCCAGGGCGAGGGATCAAAAGGTTGGTGCTAGAACAAAAGGGATGAAACTAGCTACTTTGTGTACACTTGCTCCAGCAAGTCGTTGCCAAAGCAGAGCCTCTCCAGGCAGGCAAGGCCCAATTTCAGGATTTTCTGCGGCCACAGCTACAGCCTCATTTTGCTACCAAGGCTTAGGCTTCAGGATCTGACGTGTCCAACTTCTCGCCATCACCCTCAACAAAGCCTATGTAGCCTGTCACACAACCCCTCCCCAGAAACAGCACGGGGAGGAGGAGGGCCTATTTCTCTTTCCCTGGCAACCTACGGGAGACAAATGTTCTAGATATCCCATTGCCAATAAGGTCTGGGTCACCTTATTGAGTGTGTATAAGGCACTCTTCTGTGGATTTTTCATCCCTGGGCTATAAAGTGTCTGTATGGCTTTTAGAGCTCTTCGTCTCCGTGCCTTTGTTTTTGCCATTCCACCTGCTTGGAATACTGTTGTTCCTTCTCCCTCTCATTTTGTATCTACCAAACTCATCCATAAATAATAGCTCATCCCTAAATAACCAACATTTTTTGAGTCCTTACTATGTGCCAGACACTATGCTAAGCAATTTACATGAATTACTTTATTTAATCCTCACAACAAAGAAAATTTTATTATCCCCATTTTACAGGTGAGATAACGGGGTCACAAGGTAGGTATACATATCTTGAGGATATGAATGATGTCTTATTTATCTTGCATTTGTCAGGCACTGTGTAAATACATTTGCGTCTTTCAGGCAGTTGAATAAATAAGAAGAAAAATAAAATTTGGCCTCTACCCTCAAAAGCAAAAACAAACAAACAAACAAAACAAGTTAAAAATGTAAAATGCTACCTATCTATTGGCTGGATCTCAATGGCCAGAATGCGTTGCTCTTTTCCCATTGTTGGGAAGCACATTGTTTTCACCTGTGTTAACCACATATGCTATTCTTCCGTTTTAAAGTTAGTCACTTATTAGTTACTAGTTATAATTTGTGTCAATGCCCTCCAGCCAAAGGCTACCAGGAACACACCAGTAGTTGAACAATCTGGGTTTATTACTTGTTACAGTGAGGGAGAACACACACCATAGGTGTTACTGGCTTAACTGTGTCCCCCGCCCCATTCATATGTTGAAGCTCTGACTCCCAGCACCTCAAATTGTGACTGTATTTGAAGATACGGTCTTTGAAGAGGTGATTAAACTAAAATAAGGCCGTTAGGGTGGGCCCTAATGCAGTGTCACTGGGGTCCTTATAAGAAGAGGAGATTAGGACACACAGAGGCAAGAACGTCTGCAAGCCAAGTAGAGAGAGGCCTCAGGAGAGAAACCAAACCTGCCAACATCTCGATCTTGGACTTTTAACTTCCAGAACTGTGAGAAAATAAATTTTGGTTGTTTAAACCACCCAGTCTGTGATATTTTGTTATGGTACTCTGAGCAAACTAATACAATAGGAAACTAGGGGGTGTCTCAGAAAAAGGGCCGTAGAAGGGAATTATCATAGGATTGGAGTTTTGGTTGGATAATTTGGGGGAGGGTCTAGGGAAGTGGGAATTCATTCCATATTGAATGCTGTCAGAAAACAAGGGCATTTCTGTGACTTATCTTAATAAATCTTATCTATAGGGAGGGTAGACTAAAGTGGGGATAAGGCTTTTTTTTTTTTTTTTTTTGAGACAGAGTCTCACTTTGTTGCCTGGGCTAGAGTGAGTGCCGTGGCGTCAGCCTAGCTCACAGCAACCTCAGACTCCTGGGCTCAAGCGATCCTGCTGCCTCAGCCTCCCGAGTAGCTGGGACTGCAGGCATGCACCACCATGCCCGGCTAATTTTTTCTATATATTTTAAGCGGTCCAATTAATTTCTTTCTATTTTTGGTAGAGACGGGGTCTCGCTCTTGCTCAGGCTGGTCTCGAACTCCTGAGCTCAAACAATCCGCCCGCCTCGGCCTCCCAGAGTGCTAGGATTACAGGCGTGAGCCACCGCGCCCGGCCAGGTTTTTGTTTTTGTCTGTGTTTAGACAGAATTGCCAAGTGGCCTTGTTTTGTCTCACTTTATCATCTTCTCAGCGTAACTTTGATGTCGGTATTATGTGAGATTCTTTATGTCCAACAGGAGAACTGCACGGCCTACCTGTGAGTGCCAGGCCATCTCCTAGATATCAGGGGCTGCTTTTTCTTCTCTCTCATTTGTGACTACTTAGCACCATCCATTAGTTGTGTGGCTTTAGGCAAATTAATGTACCTCTCTGTGTCTCAGTTTCCTCACCTATAATTGAGGAAAATGGAATTAACCATAAAGTCGTGGGAACTAAATGAAGGAATATACATAATGTCCTCAGAACAGTGCTTGGTACATAGGCGGCTTTCACTGAACATGAGCTATTATCCATGTATGTCTTCTCCACCACACCATTATAGTATGAATTACATATTATTGTAGTTGTATATTGGTACTTTCTCCTTTGCTAAACTGTGAGCTCCTTGAGGGCAGGGACAATGTATAATTTCATAGTAATAATAGTTAACTTTTATTGAGTGCTTTCAATGGGCCAGGCACTGATGTTAACTATAATTACTCCAAAAAAATTTTTGAGGCCTCATCCCTACCTGTAGACTAGCCTGGGTATCCTTCTCTGTGCTCTCATAGCACCTGTATTTACCTTAATCATCTCCTTAGCACATGATATTGACACTGTCTGCTTATGTGTTTTCTTCTCCTTCTAGACTGTTCATTTATGGAGAGGAAAGCAGGTACTTTCAACTTAGGTGTCCACGTCTGAGCACAGTGCTCAGCACAACAGAAGCATTCAGTATAAAAACATTGACTGGATTTTCACTACATTTGCTTTGTCTAGGGTGGAACTCAGGTCAGGCCTGTCTTAGCCCCCATCATCCCTTTTCCTGGGGTTTCACTGACCAAAAACATAACAGAAAATCTCTTATAGAGTGGTCCCCCCTGTCAGGCATATCTAAGGGAGAGACTCACTATGAAACTTCAATGCAAAAAGGTGCTATTTGGAAGCAGTTGGCCCCTGCTATTTAACAGCCAATGGTAGCACGTCCATTAGAACAAAGTGGGATAATGAGGGAGCATGAGTCTAGGACTTAGAAGGTTCGGTTTTGACCTTAATTCTCCCTTAAACAAACTCTGTGATGTTCAGCAAATCACCAAACCACTCTGAGCCTTTTCTCCACAGGGGACATGGAGAGCAGGCTAATAGAGCTTAAAAACAAAGATTAAAGAGAGTTTACCGGAGTTTCTCCTTGCAGAAAACAGTTAACCCCTTAATTACTTCCATGTTATGTGCCTGGATGATTCTTAGCCTCTGAAACTGGTATTGGAAAATGGCCACGGCCTTTCAGATGTCAACCAGGAGCCAAAGGTGGTGTGATTTTCAGTCTGCCATATTACCGCTTTAATAACCTGACAACTCAGCCTATTACCAATGAAGAGAGCTGCAGTGTCTGGAAATTCTGGGGCATAAGAGATGCTGCCATTCTGGAGATGGACCCAGAAAGTTTCTTTCTATCATGCTGAGGGCAGACACAGGATGTCTTTCAGCCCAAATTTATGTTTTATCTTAACTGAGAGGGATAAAAGAAGGTGAATGACAGAAATAACATTATTATGGTACATATGCATATACAAGGAAGAAAACTACCATATTATTTTTCATATAATGTACCACTATTGTGCCCAGAGGCTATATAGTAATCATAATAATGGCCTCTGGCTGGGACTTTACGGTGCCTTTCCCTGGTGAATTTCAAATAATGGCCCATAGGAACTCAGGGGGTCCAGATTTCAGAGGTCAATGAATTGAAACCATCATCGACTGTTCCTCTTGTATGAGGGGCAGCACCCAGCATGTTAAGGGCTCCCATTAAATACAATGGAACTGACAAACTGGCTCAATACTTCCCTCCTTTGTCCTAAACAGGATTAGAAAACTATAGCTCTCACCCTGCTGACAATAGACAGATGCCTCATTTTTTTTCCCTTTCAGCAGTCCTTAGAGAG